CCCCCCCCTTCCCCGGGCAGCTTGGGGTTGTGGGAAACAAATTTTTCCCCCGCCCCCCCCCCCCAGCCCTCCCCCCAGCCTGCTTGCTGGAAATGCTCTAATGCCATTCAATACTAACCCTAACCCTTATGTTCCTCGTAATAAATGTTTTAAAAATTCTAAATTGATTATATGAATTAGCGGAATCTCACTATTCTTACAGCAATATGTGGAAATATTCTGTAAAGAAAAAAAAAAGCAATATGTGGAAATATTGAGAGTAAAAGTGTTTTTCCAAGGAATACTACCTTCTAGAATCGTAGATATAAAAGCAAGATTATTGTGTTGGTTTTAAGATCCGTCGATGATCTTCTTTGTAAGTTCTTTTGTATCATTGTTTGTTTAGTCTTTGACCAATGTAATATATTGGTAAATATTTAGTGATATTTTTTTAAATATCGGAATAGGTTTTAGGTTCAAATTTTGGCTTTGAGTCCCCATTGAAGTTACAAACCTCCACCATAGGAGATTTTGAACTATTTCCTTATGTTTTAGAATTCTATTGATCTTTCAGTATGTGCATTTGTCACATTTTGTGTACATCTTTTCTCTTCTTTTTTTTTTCTTTTATAATATAGTTGTCATTTTCTAGCATGACATTAAGTTTATACCCCCCGTATCTTATTTTTTAAATCGGTCCCTCATCTTCTTTCCTAATACAAAAAGTTACACATAGTCTTAATAGATGAAGAAAAGGATGGACATATATAAAGTAATACTAGATTTTTTATATAGCATAAAAAATTAAATTTAACATAGGAGATACGAGATAATAAGAAGAAGACCCTAAACATTTTTATCCATCATACTGACCTTATAATGCTAATTTAACCCTGTGTGTTGCAGTAGTAGTTTTAAGTACATTAATTTAAATTCATAAAAAGCCAAAGGCAAAAACAAGAAAGAAAGAAAAAAAGTCAAAGGAGTTTAGGCTAGTGGAAAAGAGTCTCTCCGTTGTAATTTAGATTATCGCTTGTATTAAAAAAACAAAAGAAAAGAACATTTTAAGAAGATATTTTGGGGCAAAATATGAAAGTGAGAAAAGGGAGCGAAATTTTGATGAATGCTAGATCCTCGCGTCGCGGGACGGAAAATTGACTGGAAGATGGACGGGCAAGCATCTTTGGACGCACATTCTATTTGAATATGCTTGTAAGGGTATTCTTGTAAATTCAAGACAGCACCTTGTCTTACCAAACCAACTGCGTAACTGAAATAAAACAAGGACAATGGGGGACACTGGATCTGGAAACTACCTCACCTAACACTCAGCTTTGCATCTTCAATTCTCTCTCTTTCGTCAATTCCTCACACACCACCTGTTTTTCTTTACCAGCAAATCTGCTGCATCATGTTTCTATTGCTTATTTTCAAAAAAAATTATCGCATGTATAATTGCATATTCACCTTGTACGTGAAATCTGCCGTTAAACAATAACATTTCCCTGTGCTGCTTGTTGCGCAAGAATTCTAACAAGAGATTTGGCAAATCTTTATAAGCGATACGCAGTATAAGTTTACGTATGATTACAAATCATGCGTCTTAGAGTCCAAGACAAGTTTACATAGGATCACAAATAATACATAAGATTTATTTTCCTGATTTACTTCTTATTTATTTTTTTGTCACGTAATAATGCAAGAAAAGTAAACATTGATATGAGATAACTGAATTGTTTCAGATTATGCTTGAGAGATATTAACAACATAAACAAAAGAACAAAGAAAAAAGGAAAGGACAAAACTGGATAAGGATATTATCAAAATTGAATGATCAGTAACTATCATTTTCTGTATTTGGTTGGTGCAAGAATTAAAAACAATTTTTATTTATTTAAATTTTCTAATTATATCCCTAAATTATAAATATAAAAAAGTACATACTTATATTGGCATGACTTGTGGACTATTGATTTTTTTTTCCTTACACACCAAGAATTCCCATTATAATTATATTTGATTTACTTTAATTCCTGATTCTCTACTGTAAATAGAAATATGAATTTATTATTTACTTGCCCATTAAAGTTCCTCTGTATTATAAATATAACCTCATATAAGGAGAAGAATATATTCTCACAAACAAATATTCTCTCATAGTTCTCATATTTTAGCAGTTCATATATTATTTTTGGTGTCAATATCACATGTGTTATTCGGTAAAGTTTTTTACAAATACAATGAAAAATTCGGCCGTTAGATTATATTATATTTATTCAATAACTTGTAAATAAATATGTGTATAATAAATACGTGAATTTTGTCCGTATTATTGATATTTTTGTAAAAAGTATGTATATTAAACGTGAAGAATATGTATACATGTGTATTGTATGTTTGATTTTAAAAAAAAGTGTATTTTACGAAATCTTTGAGACATGTACAAAAAATACTTACATATATACGTGTATAATACAAAATTGCTAACTAGGCTAAAAAATAAAGTTGCATACAGCGGCGGATCCAGAAATTTTTCAACGGAGGTGCAATTCTTAAAAGCTAAAAGCTCCACAAAAAAATAAAAAATAAAAAATATGCATCCGACTTACTTTGTATTAGCGTACTCAAGAAGAAAAAAAAAACACAGGACTCTTGTGATGCACACACACTTTGAGTGATGTTAAATTGGTTTTTTATAAAGAGAATTTTCAATCCCACTTAAATAAGGAATTTCCGAAACCCAATTGAATAAGAGAAGTTTCAATTAAAACCTAGGTAAGAATTATATAAGCCCCTTAGAATAGAAGCCCACGAATGCCCAGCAGTTTCCCTTTTTTTTATCTTTTTTTTTTAAAAAAAACCCCTATTTAAATTGGCTTATCTATGACCATGAACAAATGGCCCACGAATGGCCAGATTTGTTTTCTTTAAACCCTTATCCATGAATGGCCTACGAATGGCTAGGTTTTATTTTTTTTAAAGCAGCGCCTGGTCCAAAACGACGTCGTTTTGGCCAGGAAGTTTTTTTTAAAAAAAAAGAGAAGTCGCGCGCTGCACATAGCGCGCAGCAGCACAGCATCCCTTCATTTGCACATTTCATCGAACACCTTCTGTGCATGAGCAGAGGTGCAACTTCAGCAGCTTCTATGGAGTTTTCCGGCGACCGGAGATGCAGGTGCACCTCCTTGCGCCTGCACAAGTCCGCCACTGGTTGCATATATATATATATTTTTTTTTTGGTCAAATCGCTTGAAAGACTAAGGCCCTATTAAGGATTGCTTTTTTTTTTTTTTTTTTTTTTGCCAAAAACCTACTTCACTTTAAAGTTAAGCAGTTTAAGGTGTTTGGTAAAAATAAAAAAGTGTTGCTAAACAAACCCTAAAATTAACTAAGTACACCCTACTACGAAAAGTATTTATTGAACTACTAATTTACCATAATATAAAATGACCAAAAAATATATATTGAATTGTGAAACAAATATAATTTTAATTAGTACACCCTACTCACCATATTCAACCCTAATGACATGCCTAAGCAGGAAAAATGTTTCTCTGGTTCCAACTATTATGAGACTTGTTAGTGTTCAATAGAGTTTAGGGTACTGGGGAAGTGAAAGAACCATGTTGGGAAACCTAATGAATGACGTTCTGCTGGAAGATGGGAATAGCAAAAATCTGATTCGATGGCTATTGAGGAAAGGAAAGAACCATATTGGGAAACCTGTGGAGAATGAAATAGGATTGTGACCCCATAAAAAACAGGAGCAGACCCAAGGAAGTTTGGGTGAATGAAGGGTTGTCGATAGGGCTCTTCTAAGCGGGATGATTGTGAGCTTCCTGACAATTGTAACTCTACTAGTACATTCTTTTTTTTGTTCAAAACATCAGGGAAATTTATTAAAGATGAATAAGATCGTTTACATCACTAGCCAAATATTAAGGACCCATGCTGGACCTGCTTGATCCGAGACACGATTACCACCCATCCTAGAAACATAGGCTGCTACCTCATGTGCAGCTCTATTGCAGTATTGTGGTGTGAAAGAAAACACCACT